GCCAAGCTTGGCAGCGTATATTTAAGCTGGGTCGGGGGGAGGAGAGCGCCTTGACAAAGGAGTTTACATATCAACACCGGAATTAAGCATATTGATAGAAAATGCAGATATGGGATTAGTCACTCCTTGTGGATTGTGTAGGTAGTGGGGGGGGGTCTCAAATTTATATTATGCTAGTGTATTATGTAGGATTAGCAGTGATAAAGGGAGGAAGTAGGATTAGCAGTAATAAAGGGAGGGAAATTTTAATCGTAAGAAACTGCAGCAGCCAAACCACCGCATATCAAGATCGTGCATTGTGTGGGCAACAAAGAAGGAGGAGTTTATAAAGAACTGCAAATACCCTACTACCAAATAATACACCTGTGTTAAAAAAACGAAATATAAACATCAATGTGCTCAATATACTCTCCAATAAGCTGAGCTTTAACATTAAGTAACTGGGTATACGTTACACAACACAATTCAAGAACTATTCAACGATGGCAGCTATACAAAAAATAAAAAGAGACCCCACCAACAGCCTCGTCATCAAAACCAACAAAATCATTTCTGATTCAACCACATTAATTGATCAAACCAAACAGTTCTCGTTGAAACCTTCTGTGGTCAGGCCACCAAGATTATATGGCTTACCAAAAATACATAAAGAAGATACACCCTTTCGTCCAATTGTGTTACTATCAACTCCCCCACCTACACACTGGTTCGTTTTTTGTCTGAAATCTTGCGGCCTTTCACTGGAAAAACCACCTCTGTGGTACTAAACTCTACCCACCTGGTATCGACAATCAAGGGTATTTATTTCCCTGTCCCCAGACGACCTGCTTGTCAGTTTTGATGTGGTTCCTTATTCACCAAAGTTCCTGTACCTGACACCATCGCAATCATTGAAGACTTGGTTCATCAAGGACTGAATACTGAGATACCCCCCCTAGTGAGACAATGCTTAAGCAATACATACTTCACCTGGAATGACACTTTCTACAAACTGAGGGCCCCCCAATGGGCTTCCCCTATCTCCGGTTGTAGCCAACGTTTTCATGAAAAAATTTGAGACTGACGCCATCCAGACTGCCTCTCGACGCCCGACCTTATGGAAGAGGGGTGTGGATGACACTTTTGTCATCTGGCCACATGGCCGGCTTGCTCTAGACCAATTTCTCGACCACATCAATTCCATACACCCAGCCATCAGATTTCACCATGGAAGTCGAAAAAGATGGCAAGCTACCCTTTTTGGATGTCCTAATTAAAAGGAGACCTGATGGTTCAATGAACCACTCTGTCTACAGGAAAGCTACCCATACGGATGCTTACCTAAAACCGGATTCCCACCACCATGCATCCCAGAAGAATTCCCTCATCAAGACTCTACACCATGAAGCCCAATGCATCTCCGACCAGGAACACATTGCCTGTGCACTCAAGCACGTACACCTAGCTCTCAAGGCTAATGGTTACTCCGACTACACAATGCGCAAAGCCATCACTCCAACCATGAAGAAGGATCCTCTTGAGGAGCCTTTCAAAACCATCAACTTACCCTACATTGCGGGGGTCACAAAAAAGACCTCCAAAATCCTGAACAAACACAAGATCCAGGTCCGATTCAACACAATACATAAAATCCGTGATCTGGTACCTTCTGTAAAAGATGTGGTTCCAGACATACAGTACCCTGGCATCTACAAACTAAGTTGCCTCTGTGGTAGCAGTTACATTGGAGAAACGAAACGACATGTCTTTGACCGCATCCGTGAACATAAAGCAGACTTGAAATACGGTAGAACGAACACCTCAGCCATGGCAGACCATTGTTATAATTCAGTGGGCTCACATGACATTGACTTCTCCAAGACGGAGGCTCTCTGAAGGCCATCCGGCGACCATGAGAGATTCGTTCATGAGGCCATTCACATATATAAACACAAAGGCCATTTCAACCGAGAAGATGGACTCTGGCTCAGCAATCATTGGAAGGACGTGATAAACCATTTCGGGTCTTAACTGATTGTGTTCACGTTTTCTCATCCCGAAATGGAGTCTTTGCTCTGCTGCAAGTCTCCTCCTACCACTCTCCCATTGACATATTTCGTTGCTTCCTCTTGGTACCTTTCACGCGACGATCAATGAGATGGTGTATAGCAGATTGTATAATAATAAATAGTATAACAGTGTAATGTCTAATATAATGTATAAGGTAATATATAGTATCGTAATTGTATAGTGAATATACAGCAGTGTGGTATACAGTAGGGTGTGTCGAATAATACATAGTGTAATATTACAATGTATAGTCTAAGGTGGTCTATAGTAACGCAGTGTATAATTCAATGTTGGGTTTGTCTATGGCAGTGTATAGTACGGGGTATATCCGTGTGATGTAAGAAAAAAGTTTAGCTGGAGGCATATTATTGTGTTTTTTGCGACGTAGAAGTGTAATGTATGACTTACTGTTAGTAGCTCAGCTTATTGGAGAGTATATTGACTATGTTGATTACATTGATGTATTTTATATTTTAGTTTTTATCGGTTCACTATATGGTAGTCATTATATAGTGTAGCGTATACCCAGTTACTTAATGTTAATAGCTCAGCTTATTGGAAAGTATATTAAGCACATTGATTATATTGATGTAAATTTCGATTTAAAGCTTTCGTGACTGCAGGGATTCATTTTCTTGGTTCTTTCGGTAAAGTCACGTAGAATGGAAATAATAAAATAAAACATAATAAAATAATATAAAGCTACCCATACGGATAATAAAATAATATAATATAAAATAATATAATAATCTATTTTATTATATTCTTTTATTATGTTTATTATTATTTTATTATTTCCATTCTACGTGACTTTACCGAAAGAACCAAGAAGATATATTGATGTAGTTTATATTTTAATTTTTTCACACAGGTGTATTAGATGGTAGTAGGGCATTTGCAGTTCTTTAGAAACTCCTCCTTTGTTGCCCACACAATGCACGCGCTTGATACCCCCGCCCCTCTCCCCCCCGCCCCTCTTCCCCTCCGCCCCACTAATCCCCCGCCCCTCACTCTGAGCCCGTCTCGCGATCGATGACGTCACGAGACGACCCCTGAACCAGGAAGTGACGCTGGTGAGTCGTCTCCGTGGGTCTCTAAGCAGAGGTGCTGACATCGTAGTTGTTGTGGTGGTGGTTGTGTTGTTTTGGTGGTTGTGGTGGTTGTGTTGTTTTGGTGGTTGTGGTGGTGGTTGTGTTGTTGTGGTGGTGGTGGTTGTGGTGGATGTGATTGTGTTGTTGTGGTTGTAGTTGAGGTGATCGTAGTTGTGGTGGTTGTAGTAGTTGTGGTCGTTGTTGTGGTCGTGGTTGTTGTGGTGGTTGTGGTGTTTATAGTTGTGGTGGTCGTAGTTGTGGTGGATGTAGTTGTTGTGGTCGTAGTTGTGGTGGTCGTAGTTGTGGTGGTTGTTGTGGTGCTGGTTGTGGTGGTGGTGGTTGTAGTGGATTGTGGTGGTGGTTGTGGTGGTCGTAGTTGTGGTGGTTGCTGCAGGGACGGATCAAGGTTCTTAAAGGCCATAAGTGATCACTTTCAACAGCTGCTACTGCTTCCCACGTTACTACCGCCGCTGCCTTCGATCTCGCCTAGATTGAAGCAGGCTGCTTTATGTGAGGAGCTCGCAAATCCTTGAAAGATCTGGACAATCCCATCGGTGAACTCCTCCAACAGGCGAGGCTGCGTCGGCTGGGTCATGTGCCCCGTATGCCCAGCCACTGCATACCCAAGCAGCTTTTGTTAAGTTATATACAGGAGCCTAAACGGGTGTGTCATGGGCTAAAGATGAGATATTATACAGGACGATGTGTGAGTGATGTGATACAGGACGATGTGTGAGTGATGTGATACAGGACGATGTGTGAGTGATGTGATACAGGACGATGTGTGAGTGATGTGATACAGGACGATGTGTGAGTGATGTGATACAGGTCGATGTGTGAGTGATGTGATACAGGACGATGTGTGAGTGATGTGATATAGGACGATGTGTGAGTGATGTGATACAGGACGATGTGTGAGTGATGTGATACAGGACGATGTGTGAGTGATGTGATACAGGACGATGTGTGAGTGATGTGATACAGGACGATGTGTGAGTGATGTGATACAGGACGATGTGTGAGTGATGTGATACAGGACGATGTGTGAGTGATGTGATACAGGACGATGTGTGAGTGATGTGATACAGGACGATGTGTGAGTGATGTGATACAGGACGATGTGTGAGTGATGTGATACAGGACGATGTGTGAGTGATGTGATACAGGACGATGTGTGAGTGATGTGATACAGGACGATGTGTGAGTGATGTGATACAGGACGATGTGTGAGTGATGTGATACAGGACGATGTGTGAGTGATGTGATACAGGACGATGTGTGAGTGATGTGATACAGGACGATGTGTGAGTGATGTGATACAGGACGATGTGTGAGTGATGTGATACAGGACGATGTGTGAGTGATGTGATACAGGACGATGTGTGAGTGATGTGATACAGGACGATGTGTGAGTGATGTGATACAGGACGATGTGTGAGTGATGTGATACAGGACGATGTGTGAGTGATGTGATACAGGACGATGTGTGAGTGATGTGATACAGGACGATGTGTGAGTGATGTGATACAGGACGATGTGTGAGTGATGTGATACAGGACGATGTGTGAGTGATGTGATACAGGACGATGTGTGAGTGATGTGATACAGGACGATGTGTGAGTGATGTGATACAGGACGATGTGTGAGTGATGTGATACAGGACGATGTGTGAGTGATGTGATACAGGACGATGTGTGAGTGATGTGATACAGGACGATGTGTGAGTGATGTGATACAGGACGATGTGTGAGTGATGTGATACAGGACGATGTGTGAGTGATGTGATACAGGACGATGTGTGAGTGATGTGATACAGGACGATGTGTGAGTGATGTGATACAGGACGATGTGTGAGTGATGTGATACAGGACGATGTGTGAGTGATGTGATACAGGACGATGTGTGAGTGATGTGATACAGGACGATGTGTGAGTGATGTGATACAGGACGATGTGGAGCTGAGTGAATTTGCTCACGGCTGGTACCAGCGGTGTCAAGATCGGCCTCTGGAGGAGGAGGAGGCTCGTGAAGGACGCTACTGGACAGTTGGAGGCAGTCGCCCTCCCGCAACAACGGAGGGCAGAGGAGCGACGCTCTCTACAAATGAGAGGAGCGCCGGGTGGCTAAAACACATCGAGCTGGCACAGTAGAGGACACAGGTGATGCATCTGCCAATTATCTCAGTCAACCCATTGTATCTGGGTCTGTCTTGTGACCAGCCAGCAGGCGTTCAACAATTCACATGGCCTTAAAGTGCACAGTGCCTGGCACATGCACGTGGTGATGTCACAACAGTGTCAAATAGGTTATTGGTGTGTGTATGTATATATATATTTGTGTGTAATATGTATGTATAGCTACTGGGTGTACTGCATGTGATCGATGCCCGGGTGCAGTCGAGGGATGGCTCCTTATTGGTCATCAGCCATGTTAGAGGCCGTCCATAAATGACGTCACGTGATTTTGGCCCATTTTTACCCCCCTCCCCCCCCCTCGTCACATGGTGTCACAAAAAGTCAGACCCCCCTCAAATATGACGTCACGAAGCTCTGCCCCCCCCCCCAAAACAATATTTCCATTTTGAACAAAAAACATGCTTCAAATCACTTTAAACTATTGTCACTGTAGTGCGTATTTAATGTGGCGCTGCACTCTGATGTTGTAGGATAAATACGTATTAAAAAGGAACCGTTGGAGAGCTGAAATTTAGCATAAAATTCACTTGAAAATATTCAACTGCTTAACTAAAACTGCAAATGTTCAGAATATTATATTGAAATTCTATTATAATTATAAAATATTAAAAGTAATTATAAGTATAAAAAATACTTGAAACCTTCGTAGTAGAACGAAGCAAAATGGAGAGTACAATTATAACAATCACATATTCATTCCACAGAATGAAAAGCCCTGGTAGAATCATTACAAATACTTTTTTTAATAACAATCATTCAAGACATTTACAAAATGTATGCTTCTCCATTCTACCATGAAGAAGCAAAATGCTCCTTCATGGAATAAATAAAAGGTGACCTTAGTACATTTAAATAATCGAATAGTTAATGAAAATTAATTAAAATTAGTGTTATAACAATTCTTATGTTTATATTTATTTAAAGTTGCGCATTTTGACGTCGCATCACATTTCTCAAACCCCCCCCTCCCCCCGTCACACATCGTCACAAATGTCTGATCCCTACTCCCCCCCCCCTAGGTGTGTGATGTCATCTATGGACGGCCCCGTTATGTTTGCTGATGATCTGGTGATTGCTGCTCACTCAGAGGAGGAGTTGGAGGCACTGCTGCTGAACCTGGAGTGTGTCACAAAGAGGTGGGGTCTTACCATCAGCCCCACCAAAACTAAGCACCTGCCTGGGTATTTTGTGTCATCAAAGACTCCACCCCCTCAGCTCCCCATTGGTGGTGTAGCAGTTGATGAGAGGTTGGAGAGTTTCCCATACCTGGGCAGTGTGCTTATGTCCAGCACCGGTTTGACAGCAGAGGTTTCACTCTGAATCAGTCGGACAGCATTTTCATTTAATCGACTGCATAATTCTGAATGGCAACTACCTCGCCTGTCGCTCCACATGAAGCTTCAGGTCTTCTCGGATACAGTCATGCCTTCCCTTGCAAAATTTGGAGCACCCTCTAACTGAACATCTGCACCAGTTTGTAATATTCAGGCTAGCCTGTCTACGATCCATCCTGGGTTTAACCACACTGGTTTGTGTAAGTTGTTCAGGGATAATTGCAAGATCTGGACAAAGTCCCATCAGTGGTGCCACAATAGCGAGATGTTAGCTACATCGCCTGGTATACAGGTCGTCATAGGTTCAATCCGGACCCTGACATTTAGAAACATACTTTTAGAATATTTGTCTGCTAAACATTTCCACGTGATGATAAGCCACTTCGTTGAGCTATCATTTGTGGCCAGGTCATTTCTGAAAAAGTGATATATTGCTCAGTGTGCTTTACCTGGTGTGATAAAAATATTTAATGGTTTCAAAAAAAATCTGTGAGCTCTCCTGGCAAGTGAGTCTGCATTGGCTGGGTTATGTCGCCCTGCATTCCCAGTCACCGCATGCCTAAGTATCTGTTCGGCTGGGTGTTTCATTTCATTTAGTTTCATTTATTAGGTATAACCCTGTGAGCCATGCGACTCTTGACTCAGGTGCAACCGCAACAAAACAAAAACATGAACAAGAAACATCTTAAAGTGACTACATGCAACAGAAAAATCCTGGAAAAAACAGCAAAGTCTTCAAGAAAAAGCACCGTATTTCAACGCCGTGTGCAAATATCCCAGTGAAACAAAAACAACCATAAGACAATTTAGATTAAAGTTATCAGGCTAACTCTGTGCCACAACAAACAAACATGGCTAAACCAAAAGTTTTCTAAATCAACAAATTAGAGCTATAAAAACAATGTAACAGTGATCATAGGAACTGATTCAAATTTAACAATGAACGATATACATACAGTGAGGGAAAAAAGTATTTGATCCCCTGCTAATTTTGTACGTTTGCCCACTGACAAATAAATTATCAGTCTATAATTGTAATGGTAGGTTTATTTGAACAGTGAGAGACAGAATAACAACAACAAAATCCAGAAAAACGCATGTCAAAAATGTTATAAAATAATTTGCATTTTAATGAGGGAAATAAGTATTTGACTCCCTCTAAATCAGAAAGATTTCTGGCTCCCAGGTGTCTTTTATACAGGTAACGAGCTGAGATTAGGAACACACTCTTAAAGGGAGTGCTCCTAATCTCAGCTTGTTACCTGTATAAAAGACACCTGTTCACAGAAGCAATCAATCAGATTCCAAACTCTCCACCATGGCCAAGACCAAAGAGCTCTCCAAGGATATCAGGGACAAGATTGTAGACCTACATAAGGCTGGAATGATCTTCTTGGTTCTTTCGGTAAAGTCACGTAGAAGGGAAATAATAAAAATAAAACATAATAAAATAATTCTCACCACGTTTCAGCTACAACGCAAGCAGCCGTCCTCAGGTGAAGAACAGGTCTGTCGAGAAGACAGCGTCTGAATGAAACACCCCAGGCTTGGAGCGTATATTTCAGCTGGGTTGGAGGGGGAAGAGCGCCTTGACAAAATAATTTGCATATCAAGATGAATTTAGCATATTTATGGGAAATGCAGATATGGGATTAGTACTACTTGTGAAATGGGTAGGAGGTGGGCGGGGGGTTTCAAAGTCATATTATGCCAGTGCATTATGCAGGATTAGCAGCATCAAAGGGAGGGGATAGGGGTAGCATTAATAAAGGGAAGGCATGTTAATAGTATGTAGCTGCAGTAACTAAACCACCACGTAAAAAAGCTAAAGTATAAACTACATAGTATCATCAGTATACTAAATATACTCTCCAATAAGCTGAGTTACTAACAGTAAGTAATACATTACAATTCTATGTCGCAAAAAATATAATATGCTTCCAGCTAAACTTTTTTCTCTTACATCACACGGGTCTACCCTGTACTATATACTGCCATAGACAAAACCAACATTAAATTATATACTGTATTACAATACACCACCCTATACCTTCGACTATACATTGTAAGATTAAACACAAGATTCAGGTCCGATTCAACACAGTACATAACATCCGTGATCTGGTCCTGTCTGTAAAAGATGTGGTTCCAGACATACAGTACCCTGGCGTCTACACCTCAGCCGTGGCAGATCACTGTTACAATTCAGTGGGCTCACATGACATTGACTTCTCCAAGACAGAGGTTCTCTGCAAGCCATCTGGCTACCATGTTGGTTTTGTCTATGGCAGTATATAGTATGGGGTAGACCCGTGTGATGTAAGAGAAAAAAGTTTAGCTGGAAGCATATTATATTTTTTGCGACATAGAATTGTAATGTATTACTTACTGTTAGTACCTCAGCTTATTGGAGAGTATATTTAGTATACTGATGATACTATGTAGTTTATACTTTAGTTTTTTTTTACGTTGTGGTTTAGTTACTGCAGCATAATACTATTAACATTCCTTCCCTTTATTAATGCTACCCCTATCCCCTCCCTTTGATGCTGCTAATCCTGCATAATGCACGGGCATAATATGACTTTGAAACCCCCCCGCCCACCTCCTACCCATTTCACAAGTAGTACTAATCCCATATCTGCATTTCCTATGAATATGCTAAATTCCTCTTGATATGCAAATTATTTTGTCAAGGCGCTCTTCCCCCTCCAACCCAGCTTAAATATACGCTCCAAGCCTGGGGTGTTTCATTCAGACGCTGTCTTCTCGACAGACCTGTTCTTCACCTGAGGACGGCTGCTTGCGTTGTGGCCGAAACGTCGTGAGAATTATTTATGTTTTATTTTTATTATTTTATTATTTCCCCTCTACGTGACTTTACCAAAAGAACCAAGAAGATGAATCCGTGTAGTCACGAAAGCTTTAAATCCAAATTTAAGTCTGGAATGGGCTACAAGACCATCGCCAAGCAGCTTGGTGAGAAGGTGACAACAGTTGGTGCGATTATTCGCAAATGGAAGAAACACAAAAGAACTGTCAATCTCCCTCGGCCTGGGGCTCCATGCAAGATCTCACCTCGTGGAGTTGCAATGATCATGAGAACGGTGAGGAATCAGCCCAGAACTACACGGGAGGATCTTGTCAATGATCTCAAGGCAGCTGGGACCATAGTCACCAAGAAAACAGTTGGTAACACACTACGCTGTGAAGGACTGAAATCCTGCAGCGCCCGCAAGGCCCCCCTGCTCAAGAAGCCACATATACATGCCCGTCTGAAGTTTTGCCAATGAACAGAATGATTCAGAGGACAACTGGGTGAAAGTGTTGTGGTCAGATGAGACCAATTCTCAATTCGCCGTGTTTGGAGGAGGAATGCTGCCTTTGACCCCAAGAACACCATCCCCACCGTCAAACATGGAGGTGGAAACATTATGCTTTGGGGGTGTTTTTCTGCTAAGGGGACAGGACAACTTCACCGCATCAAAGGGACGATGGACGGGGCCTTATACCGTCACATCTTGGGTGAGAACCTCCTTCCCTCAGCCAGGGCATTGAAAATGGGTCGTGGATTGGTATTCCAGCATGACAATGACCCAAAACACACGGCCAAGGCAACAAAGGAGTGGCTCAAGAAGAAGCACGTTAAGGTCCTGGAGTGGCCTAGCAAGTCTCCAGACCTTAATCCCATAGAAAATCTGTGGAGGGAGCTGAAGGTTCGAGTTGCCAAACGTCATCCTCGAAACCTTAATGACTTGGAGAAGATCTGCAAAGAGGAGTGGTACAAAATCCCTCCTGAGATGTGTGCAAACCTGGTGGCCAACTACAAGAAACGTCTGACATCTGTGATTGCCAACAAGGGTTTTGCCACCAAGTACTAAGTCATGTTTTGCAGAGGGGTCAAGTACTTATTTCCCTCATTAAAATGCAAATCAATTTCTAACATTTTTGACATGCGTTTTTCTGGATTTTTTTGTTGTTATTCTGTCTCTCACTGTTCAAATAAACATACCATTAAAATTATAGACTGATCATTTCTTTGTCAGTGGGCAAACGTACAAAATCAGCATGGGATCAAATACTTTTTTTCCTCACTGTAACATGTACGACCAAACTTTGCAGCCATAGTTGGCTGCGTGAGTCACTCCATAACAGCAGGAGTATCAGTAGCAGAATCGAAAAATGTAAATACACCTTTAAAGATCAGCACACTATAATCAAAACTCAAGATCATACTTTGTAGCGGTCATCCAGAATGATACATTTGATTTCAGGCCATTCTGAATAGCAGTGGCAGCTAGGGGTGTACAACTCCTTTAGAGCAGTTTTGAGTGAAGATCTCACAGGTAGTGATCCAAGTTGCAGTTTATTGGCGATAGCATTCCAGACCCTCGGGGCATCAATGGAAAATACCCTTCCTTCAGTATTTGTACGGCAATAAGGAATGTGAAGCTGGTAAATGAGCTAAGACCTTAGGTCACATTTGTTCTTCGAAACAGTGAGGAGATCCAGCAGGTAGTCTGTTGATTTTTTTGTAAGTACATCGTGAATAATACTAGGTGTAGGTGTATAATCTGTGTATATTGTATGTAATGTGTGCATCTCATGTCCGCTGGGTGTACTGTGTATATTTTGTGTGTAATGTGTAGGTTGAATGACATGAAGCAGAGACTCAAGACAGCCCAGTGCTAGAAGGAATTAATGCGAGCAGTGTCCATACGACATGAGCCACACTGGACACATTAATTTGTACCACAAATTACACATGGCCAAGAAGGTCTTCAAGTGTACTGTATGCGAGAAGGTATTTCGACGTTCATCACAACTTAGAACTCACCAGAGACAACACACAGGAGAGAAGCCCTTTAAGTGCACTGTCTGTAGTAAAGCGTTTACACGTTCAGCATCTCGTCACGCTCACCAGAAAACACACACAGGTGAAAAACCCTTTAAATGCACTGTGTGTGGAAAGGCATTTGCAGGTTCAGGAAATTTTGTGACACATCAGAAAACACACTCAAGCGATAAGCCCTTCAAGTGCACTTTGTGTGAGAAGACATTTAAACGCTCATCACATCTCCAAATTCACCAGATAACACACACTGGCGCCAATCCCTTCAAGTGTACTGTTTGTGGTAAAGCGTTTACACGGTCAGGATCCCTTAACATTCACCAGAGAACACACACAGGTGAGAAGCCCTTCAAGTGCACTGTGTGTAGTAAAGTGTTTACACGGTCAGGATCTCTTAACAGTCACCAGAGAAAACACACAGGCGAGAAGCCCTTCAAGTGCACTGTATGTGGTAAAGCATTTACACAGTCAAGATATCTTAAGAATCATCACCAGAGACAACACACAGGCAAGAAGCCCTTCAAGTGCACTGTGTGTGGGAAGTTATTCGCACGGTCAGACGACCGAAATAGGCATGAGAAGATCCATGTGGAGAAGGAGGTGGAATCGAGCCCATCTCGCATGCAACAAGACCCAAAAGACAACCCGAGTTTAGCAACGTGGCCAGCAGTGAAGGTTGAACGGGAAGAAGTGAAGGGGGAATGTGAAGAGGTGAAGGTGGAATGTGAAGAAGTGAAGGGGGAATGTGAAGAGGTGAAGGTGGAATGTGAAAATGTGAAGATGGAATGTGAAGAAGTGAAGGTGAAATGCGAAGATGAAGACTCAACTCCAGGCCCCGACCTCCAGGTGAATGGAGGCAGCGTCAAGCAGGAGGAGCATTCGGACTCTGAGGGAGGGCGAGGTGACCCCCAGAAGGTTGTGGATGTGGAGGTGTGGGTGGAGTTTTTGGCGGAGGGATCGTGCAGCGGTTAGCGTGCTGCCTTACGAGCGCGGGAACCCGAGTTTGATTCCCGTTCACGTTCGACATCGGTGACAATTATCTGAATTGGTCCTGGGCCTCCCCTAGATCAACTCAGCCTCAAATGAGTACCTGGTGTGGTGCCTAAACACCACTGGGAAGACAAAGGTGGACGGGCATGGTGCTGGCCACCCACCCCCTCGTGTACCGTGCCGGCCTTCATCGGTGCTCGCTGCCACACTTGTCTTAAAAGTCTGTTCAGGCTCTCAAGGGGCAAATTTATCTTCGAAGTTTTTTTACAAAGCAGATTGAGGGCCCAGCACGTTTGAAGTGGGGTCTGGAAAGGTCTGAAAGAATTCCCAATGAGGTCACCTTATTTACAGGCATCTCTTATTACAACAATACGTGCAGCTGTCGGCGTCATCCACTCAGAGGTTACCTTTCATTTAACGCAGCTACCCCAAAGCCTTGGGAACCACCTAAGAAGTTTCGTCTCTTGGAATCTCCATCCGGCCATCTTCTGTCCTCATTCAAACTGACTCTCTTATTCAAATCACCAACGTTTAGGTGTGAATGCTATTTTACAACGTAATTACTATTATTACATTTCTTTGTTTTATCTGTAATTGTGTGGAATGCTTTGATGTTACTTACTGGCCCGAGTCGCCCTTAAAACAAATCTCTGCTCAATGGGGTTTGCTCGGAAAATATACTTCTGGTTCTTCGGATTCTGTAAATCTTAGCATTATGAACGAATGATTACCCATCAACCGATTGTGAGTCTTGATGTAGCAAGTTGCGTGTATCAGGGTCACGTATAGAATATGGGATGTCTGGACAGATCGATTGCGTGGTATGAATATGAGCAATGTCCTTGTATTCATGTGACTGCAGATCTTAATTTTAGAACTTTCGTGACTGCAGGAATTATTATTTGGTTCTTTCGGTTAAGTCACGTCTAAAGATAAAATAATAAATTAAATAATAGAATACGACGTTTCGATTGCAACACAAGCAATCATCATCAGGTATAATGAATTAGCGACATAAAATCTAACCAGAAAACTATAGACAGACATATTAGCAGACAGATATCACCAAGATACATAGAGAGAGCAACACAGGTAACAGAGAGAGGTGATCGTCTCTGTGGGGTGGCCTTAAATAGACAGAGGGGGGCGGAGGCAGAGAGAGGGAGGGGGGGTTAGAGAAAAAATTAGCATATCAATGAGTGAACAACAAAAACGTGGTGCTGCAAGTGCGATGACACGGCAAGCAAGCCTGAAAATCAGGAGGACACACTAAAATTAAATAACCTAGTAAAATATCGAAATGTAATGTAATACAACACAGAGGGTCGGTCAACACACAATTAACGCATAGCCTGGTTGATTACGTATTTCAAAGATTGCTAAGTTAGAATTTAAGTGTGAACATTCCAAAGAGAGGACACAGGCAGAGAGAACAAGTAGTCAGAGAGAGAGAGAAAAAGAAGATAAGTTTAAAACTTCCCCGTAGTGTGTGACTGCAGATGTTTGTGCGACATGAACTGTCAGCTTCAGCTTAGAAGTGTAGGTACCATCTTCCTCTAGAGAACAATTCGTAGTTTTCTTTAAAATAAGGAACCTAATGGGACCTGTCTCGGCCTCGCTGTGCGTTTCTCTGCACCACTTCGTCTAATTACACAGCAAGGATAAACGTCAAAACTCTAATGCGTTTAATTAAAAACAAGAAAACTGGTGTATAAATAACAGATCAAATGTATATTTTTAAACTTTTTTTTAAACACGCACTTATGAAATGTACTAAAAAGTAAAAAATAAATATTTTCTGTTCAAGTACTTTGCATTATATATGTTTCATATACTCTTGTTGTAACTGACTAAATAAAAGCGTGGGGCGCGCATACTATATTTGAGCAAATATGTCTATTCACAATGGGAAGTAAGTGTTCATATCTTGATAATATGTTGTAATTTGAACGTAAAGGTTTTAAGCCGTATATTTTTGGGAATGTCTGCATTGAGAATGTAAAGTTTAACACGTAGGCTTTTCGCGACCAATATTATTCATATAGGTTATTTTTGGGTCAGATCGTGTTATTTATTTACTTTACATAGAATAGAATGTAAAGTAACTTCATATGTAGTGAATATCTTATTATTGTAACGTAGAGCTTTTCACGTGTTGATGATTGTGAATGTCTCGATTGACAATCGCAAGTAACTGGTGATATGTTGGTCATGTAAATGTGTAAGTTTTTAAGCCGTTTATGTTTGTGAATATGTCTGCATTGACAATGGAAAGTAACTGCTCATACAGTGAGGGGAAAAAGTATTTGATCCCCTGCTGATTTTGTACGTTTGCCCACTGAAAAAGAAATGATCAGTCTATAATTTTAATGGTAGGTTTATTTGAACAGTGAGAGACAGAATAACAACAACAAAATCCAGAAAAACGCATGACAAAATTGTTATAAATTGATTTGCATTTTTAATGAGGGAAATAAGTATTTGAACCCCTCTCAATCACAAAGATTTCTGGCTCCCAGGTGTCTTTTATACAGGTAACGAGCTGAGATTAGGAGCACACTCTTAAAGGGAGTGCTCCTAATCTCAGCTTGTTACCTGTGTAATGTGAGGTTATATCCGGGTCGCTGACGGATCACAACTCGTCACGATGATTGGCTCTGCCGGTCCTGGTCCATAGCCAATGGGGGGAAGCCTAGGGGCGTGGCTCTGGAAAGGTGACAGCTGTAAATAGAGGATTGGTTCTGCTGGCTTTAGCCACATCCAATGGGGAGACGAGTCAGGGGCGTGATCCCGGGAGCCTACGGTGGAGTCTGGAAGATTCCATAGAGGCTAACCAGGATTGGTGGAAAGGTACCACGTGACCCGGGTATTAAATAGGGGTGGAAACGAACAACACGTGGTCAGAACTGGAACGAACGAAGGGAAGGGGCCACGCGGGAGCGGGGGTCCAGGCTGCCACGTGGCTGCGCGCGTCTCTCTCTTTCTATCCCTCTCACGCTGTCTGTCAGCAGCGTGAAGGAGTGTTGTAATGAAAGACAAATAAAGACCGGATTCCACAAGTCGCTTCAACGACTTTTATTACACCTGTATAAAAGATACCTGTTCACAGAAGAAATCAATCAATCAGATTCCAAACTCTCCACCATGGCCAAGACCAAAGAGCTCTCCAAGGATGTCAGCGACAAGATTGGAGATCTACACAAGGCTGGAATGGGCTACAAGACCATCGCCAAACAGTTTGGTGAGAAGGTGACAACAGTTGGTGCGATTATTCGCAAATGGAAGAAAGACAAAAGAACTGTCAATCTCCCTCGGCCTGGGCTCCATGCAAGATCTCACCTCGTGGAGTTGCAATGATCATGAGAACGGTGAGGAATCAGCCCAGAACTACACGGGAGGATCTTGTCAATGATCTCAAGGCAGCTGGGACCATAGTCACCAAGAAAACAGTTGGTAACACACTACGTCAGGGGTCCTCAAACTACGGCCCGCGGGCCACATGCGGCCCGCTGAGGACATTTATCCGGCCCATGGTCACTAATTGGGCTGCGCTGGTGAGCACTCTTTGGGCTGCGGTGGTGAGCACTGATTGGGCTGCGGTGGCGAGCACTGATTTGGCTGCGCTGGTGAGCACTGATTGAGCTGCGGCGGTGGGCACTCATTGTGCCCACCGCACTGCGATCTGTGAACAAAACTGCAGGTCTAATTAACTTTTTAATGGCACGCGCACATGTGTGAGCCTGGGGTAAAAGCGGAGTTCCCCCAATCAGACTGCATTGATGGGCAGTGCAGTCTGTATGTCTCTGTGTGGGTAAAGTTATTGCTGGTATATTGTTTTTGTAGCGCTGTATATATATTGGTATTTTACTAATAGCAATTTTGACTCCCTAGGAAACAATGATGTCAAGAAAGAGAAAAATTGACTCGGAGTGTAGGATATTCAAAGAACAGTGGACTTATGATTACTTTTTCATGCAGTACAAGGAAAGAGCTGTGTGTCTGATATGCCAGAATATAGTGTCTGTGTTCAAAGAATACAATTTACGTCGACACTATGAAACTCAACATAAAGATAAATATGATTGTTTGGTCGGAGAAGTGAGAAAAGATAAAATATTAAAACTGAAAAATACATTAACAACTCAGCAAAATACTTTTGTGAAGCAGAAGCAGCTAAATATTTCATCACTGCGAGCAAGTTTTCAAGTTGCCAAGCCAATAGCGTGCACTGGCAGACCATTCGTGGAGGGAGAATTTGTTAAAGAATGCCTTCCTGTTGCCAAAGAGATGTGTCCAGAGAAGGCCGATTTATTTAGTACAGTGAGTCTTTCAGGACCTACAATTACACGGAGGATTGAAGAAATGGGAGACAATTTGCATCAGCATTTACAAAACTCCACAAAAAAACTTTCCTATTTTTCCTTGGCACTCGACGAAAGCAATGATGTTCCTGATTCTGCACAACTTTTAATTTTTATTCGTGGGACGAATGACTATTTCGAAGTCACAGAAGAGCTTGTTGCACTGCAAAGCATCAAAGGAACAACTACAGGAGAGGATATCTATGAAAAGGTTTGCCAAACTGTGAATGGTTTGGAGCTGAACTGGGCTAAACTAGCCAGTGTGACAACTGATGGTGCTCCTAGCATGGTGGGGTCTAAGAAATGAGTAATTGCTCGCATTAACCAAGAGATGGACAAACATAACCATTCTCATCCAATAGCCATACACTGCCTCATCCACCAACAAGCCTGTGTAGTAAATCACTGAAGTGGGACTCTGTTATGAAAATTGTGGTATCTTGTGTTAACTTCATTAGAGCTCATGCACTAAACCACAGACAATTTCAGGAATTTCTGTCTGAGCTAAATGTTGACTATGAAGATGTTCTGTACCACACAGAAGTCCGTTGGCTGAGTCGAGGGAGAATTTTGAAACGTTTCTATGACTTACTTCCACAGATTACAGCTTTTCTGCTTTCAAAAAACAAAGAAGTACCAGAGCTCAATGATGCAGAATGGAAATGGCACCTTGCCTTTCTGACAGATGTAACAGAGCTACTCAACAGTTTCAATGTGCAACTTCAAGGAAAGGGGAAGCTCATCTGTGATATGCAATCACATGTCAAAGCATTTGAAGTAAAATTAGGCCTCCTCATCAAACAAGTGAAGGAGGCAAACTTCTGCCATCTCCCCACAACTCAAAATCTGTTAGCGGAAAAACCATTGGTTGCATTCCCAAACAAAACATGTGTGGATTCACTGGAAAAATTGCAAAAGGAGTTCCAATTTAGATTTAAAGAGCTTCATCTCCATGAACAGGACATACAGCTTTTCCGTAACCCATTTTCTATTGACATTGAAAATGTGGATACAATTTACCAAATGGAACTGACTGAACTGCAGAATTGTGACTCTCTGAAAGACGCATTCAAGTCAAGCAGCCTTCATAATTTCTATGCATCTCTCCCCTCTGAGACATATCCTCATCTCAGGAACCATGCACTAAAAATGGCAACCATCTTTGGCAGCACAAGTCTGTGAACAGACTTTTTCCAGAATGAAACATTTGAAATCTCCAACCAGATCTAGACTAACGGATGCACACTTGCATCACTTGTTACGACTAGCAGTGACAAATATGAAACCGGACATTGACCATCTCATTAGCCAAAAGCAGGCCCATAGTTCCCATTGAAATACTGGCAAGTTTGTTGATTTAACTTTACTTGTTCTTCATTTTAAATATTGTATTTTTCCCGTTTTGTTTCTTCACTTCAAAATAAGATATATGCAGTGTGCATAGGAATTTGTTCATAGTTTTTTTTAACTATAGTCCGGCCCTCCAACGGTCTGAGGGACAGTGAACTGGCCCCCTGTTTAAAAAGTTTGAGGACCCCTGCACTACGCCGTGAAGGACTGAAATCCTGCAGCGCCCGCAAGGCCTCCCTGCTCAAGAAAGCACATATACATGCCCGTCTGAAGTTTTGCCAATGAACAGAATGATTCAGAGGACAACTGGGTGAAAGTGTTGTGGTCAGATGAGACCAAAATGGAGCTCTTTGGCATCAAATCAACTCGCCGTGTTTCGAGGAGGAGGAATGCTGCCTATGACCCCAAGAACACCATCCCCACCGTCAGACATGGAGGTGGAACATTATGCTTCCGCTAAGGGGACAGGACAACTTCACCGCATCAAAGGGACGATGGACGGGGCCATGTACCGTCAAATCTTGGGTGAGAACCTCCTTGCCTCAGCTAGGGCATTGAAAATGGGTCGTGGATGGATATTCAGCATGACAATGACCTAAAACACACGGCCAAGGCAACAAAGGAGTGGCTCAAGAAGAAGCACGTTAAGGTCCTGGAGTGGCCTAGCAAGTCTCCAGACCTTAATCCTATAGAAAATCTGTGGAGGGAGCTGAAGGTTCGAGTTGCCAAACGTCAGCCTCGAAACCTTAATGACTTGGGCAAGATCTGCAAAGAGGAGTGGGACAAAATCCCTCCTGAGATGTGTGCAAACCTGGTGGCCAACTACAAGAAATGTCCAACCTCTGTGATTGCCAACAAGGATTTTACCATCAAGTACTAAGTCATGTTTTGCAGAGGGGTCAAATAATTATTTCCCTCATTAAAATGCAAATAAGTTTATAACATTTTTGACATGCGTTTTTCTGGATTTTGTTGTTGTTATTCTGTCTCTCACTGTTCAAATAAACCTAACATTAAAATTATAGACTGATCATTTATTTGTCAGTGGGCAAACGTACAAATCAGCAGGGGATCAAATACTTTTTTCCCTTACTGTAGTCTAAGTTAAAACGAGTTAACTCACACTTTAAATCACATTGTACAATAGCAGTTGACAAGTGCCACTTTTTTCATGAAATAGCAAGTTTAAATAGCTGGTGTTTTTTTATTAGCATTCCTAGAGAAACGTCACCTAAAAAAGAGAATGATCACGCTACATGTTGACATATAGCATTCTTGTTTAACTGTGTTGGACACAGCCTAATTGTGCATCTCCCATTAGTGTCGCATTACTTTATACAAAACACGAAACCTTTGTCTGTCATGGGTCTAGTTACGTTCTTGAAAATAGCCACAGTTGGCAAATCCGCGATTCGCAAAACTCAAAAGGCATTGTGGGGAAAAACGAGGGTCTGTTTCACGGCTTTTCTAATACAACACCTGCTCCTCCTCCGCCTGTTTGACATTACCCGAGGCGGGCTGTCAGGACCAGCAAGGCCTTCTCTGCTAGCCTAGAGATTGTCAAAATCAGAAATGTATTATTTAATATATTTTCATTAATGCTATATGTATTTTACAAAGTTCGTTCCCATCAGTCTATTAACGTCATTCCATTGCTACTCTCTCCCTCCGTTACAATGCTTCCAGTGCAGCTCATACATTACAGTGTGTATCCAATCAGATTTTCCACCTGTGCTGTCTCCGGGTGAAACATCTACCGAGGCCTTCAGATTTTTGAGTGAATCCCGTCTGCTGTTGAAGCAAATGGGGACGATGTTGTTGTCATATTTTTTAACCAATCAAATTTAGAGTGCCATGTTGGGTGTGTTCTTTCACACACCGGAGCCTTCTTGCTTGTCTCGCCGCCGACGTCAACATTTTTCGTGTGGCGTGATCGGAGGGTCAGCTAACTGAAACATATAACGTGGCATCATCTTAGATTTAAACTTTATTTCGTGACGTTTAGATTTTTTGATGTAATGCATTATATTTTTTGCTTAGATTTTTACTTAGCCCTGTTTTTTTTTACGCACAATGGCTGAATGAGACAATTATTTGGTGGCGGATTTATTGGACATTACATTGATTTGGGCTATGCGATATCAATTTGTGATGCAGCATCCTGTCATACTGCATAATAGTGGTATATCCTTGGATTCAGTCACCATGTATTCATGTCTCTGCAATTAGTGTATTGTAACTCTCAGGTGTTGAGCCTCGTGTTAAATAACTTGATTCCACTCGATAGAAGTTACTGTCACTGTGAATATGACAATAGCCTATTGCCCTCGTGTCATGGTGAGGTTATTCGAAGGCGGTTTGATTGCGGGAGGATAGCACTGAAGGCCTCGGTGTAAAATATATGGCCCACCACTGGTTACCCTACAGCCGACACCAACCCAGACATTACACGGGGAGTATCTTGAGTGAAAAATACGTTTGATATATTCTACAGTGTAAAATGTTATTTGAACAGTACATTTATATAATTTTACACATCAATGTAGCATACAATACTGTACACGAATTCGAGTAAAGCAGTGTACGCTACTGTACAGTGCTGTACAATACCGGACACGTGTTTTCTTGACGCGTACACTACTGCACATGGACAGGAAAGAAATTCACAGGCAGCAACACTGGAGGCTGGGAACACCACGTGATGTGGGACCCGCGATGGGATGCTGCGGAGACAAGGCGGAGAGACAAGGGAGAGGCAAGATTGGAGACAAGACGGAGACAAGGTGGCACCGCGTGCATATCTTGAATGTATATGGTGTCAATATCTTTCCACCATCCTTCAACTAAAGTCCTGGAGCGAGGGATAAGGAGCAAAGCAGCAGGCCTGACGAGTTGTAAGCTGTAGAAACATTCACATACAGGTAGTTTGGGAAGATGGGTCGTGCAGTATCTGCATTAGTTATTGATCTGCAGGGCAGCACCCCAAGTGACTGCCCACCCCGATCCGGAGAGCAACCTACAAAAGGTAGCTTAACAAATGTTCACCCCAAATCGTACCTGATCACCTCGGCGTGGCTGGTGGGTAACCAATGGAGTGATAAAAAGCAAAAGTATAAACAGAGAAATACATTCTTTGGTTCTTTCGGTAAAGTCACGTATAAAGATAAAATAATAAATTAAATTAAATACTAGCATACGACGTTTCGATTGCAACACAAGCAATCATCATCAGGTATAAAGTAAATAGAAACACAAATCTAGTATACTTAATTTAATTTATTATTTCATTTTATCTTTATACGTGACTTTACCGAAAGAACTAAAGAATAATTCCTGCAGTCACGAAAGCTCCAAATTAAGTTAGAGAAATACATTTGTAATTGAAACTTGGAATGTTTGCACCCTAATTGATCGAGAGGTTTGCCCCAGACCAAAACGAAAGACTGCACTTATCTTACGGGAGCTCAATCGCTATAGCATAGACATTGCTGCTCTCTCTTTGTAAGACACATTATTCTGGGGAAGTACAGATCACGGAATACCTCGCAGGATACACCTTCTGGTCAGGAAGACCCGAAGGAAAGAAACGTACTGCAGGGGTCAGTTTTGCCATGAAGAATTCCCTTGCCAGAACGTTGCCATCGCTTCCTGAGGGGAATTCAGATAGACGCATGGTACTTCGCCTCCCTCTTAAGGCCATTAGACACATCATAGTTGTCTCGCCTTATGCTCCAACCTTAAATAACCTCAAACGATAAAGGAAACGTTATATAATGAATTATCCTCCATTCACAGGAATGACAAGATCCTCTTGCTAGGCGACTTCAATTCCAGGGTAGGGACCGACCATGACACCTGGCCTGGTTTCATTGGAATGCATGGTGTGGGCAAGTTTAATAGCAATGGTCAACGTCTCCTGGGACTGTGCTCAATGCATAGCCTCTCATCAAATTATTTATATCTACTTCCTCACCATCTCAAAGCAATCTGGATGCACCTGAGGTCAAAACATTGGGACTTGATAGATTATATTACTACTCGACAAAGTGATTCAAAAGACATCTACATCACACGAGTAACAAGAGCTGCAATTGGTGACACAGACCAATGTCTTGTAAGATCAAAGATACAACTTCATATATATACTCCAAAGTGTAAAGACTGCACCACTTCCAAATAAACTCAACATAATCAAACTTAAGGCGGAATAGTTCCAGCTCTCCTTCCAACAGAATCTTGGCCAATCTCTGAGAAACCTTGCCTCCGAACGCAAAGATATTGCGCTACGTTTGACTAGTTTCAAAGACACCGTCTATAACGTCTCATCAAACGTCCTTGGAATTTCAAGTCTAAGACACAAGGACTAGTTTGATGAGAATGACCCACAGATCCAGGAGCTTCGATATGCAATAGCTTCAGCTCCTAACACCCTACTTCAAGGCCCTCAATCCCAAAGGAGGAAACTGGCATATTATACAATATGGTCCACCCTCCAGAAGAAGCTAATATAAATTGAAAATAAATGGTGGCACGATTAAGCAGCTGAAATACAAAATTACACAGATGCATAGCAGTATAAACAATTTTATCATGCACTTCGAGAAGTCTATGGCCCAGTTACTCATACAGAAATCCTACTTGATGAGGTCAAACTAGCAATCCGACAACTCAAACCTGGTAAAGCCCCGGGAGTGGACGAGATTCCTGCAGACATACTTAAAGCTGGTGGAGATATTCTCGGTGAAGAATTATGGCACTTATTCAGAGAGTTCTGGAAATGTGGAGTCCTACGACAGGACCTGAAGGATGCAGTTTTAGTACCATCTTTAAAAAGGGAAATAGGGCCAACTGTAACAATTACAGAGGCATTTCTCTTCTTTCTATTCCACGTAAATGTTTAGCCAAGCTGATTCTTAACATAATCAATAAAGCCATCACGAACAAAATTATCCCATAAAGCAAAGGTGGTTTTAGGGAAGGTCTAGACACAACCAACATGATTTTTACACTCAGACAACTACAAGAGAAGTGCATTGAACATTAGTAACCACTGTACGTGACCTTGGTTGATCTCGACTTTGACATCGTAGGGAGAAAGGGACTTTGAAAACTACGACTAAAGTTTGGGTGTCCACCCAGAATCCTTGGAATAATCAAGATAGTCCCATGATGGTATGCAGGGTCTGCACTCCCTCAGACATATAAGATGCATTTATTTCAAATGGAGGGAAGCAAGGCTGTGCTCCAGCTCCAACTTATTCAGCCTGTTCTTTGCCACTATGGTCGATGAGGCTATGAAGGATCTGAAAGCAGTAGTAGCTATCCAGTCCCGCACAGTTTCTGGGCTTCATAACTTGTCATGGTTACGCACGACAATTTCCCATCAGGGAGATCATAGTACGTGAACTTTAGTATGCAGATGACTGTGCCTTGGTTGACCACACTGAAGTGGGCCAACAACTGCTAGTCAGCTACATTTCCAATTCAGCCAGAGAATGTGGTCTCGCTGTGAGCCTCAAGACAACTGAGGTAATGCATCAACCGGCTCCTGGGATCTCTGAAGCTGGAGCAAGGATCCACATTGTCCAACACCAACTTAACTCAATCACCAAGTTCACATATCTGGAAAGTACAGTGATAAGAAATGGTAATCTGGACCAAGAGATTAAAATTAGAATAAGCTGAGCCTCGTCCACTTTCGGTCGCCTTAGAGAGCATATATGGGACAAGCCAGGCATCACCATAAGGACAAAGTGCAGTGTTTACAGGAGTAGCTCTCCTTCATAGTTCTGAAAATGTGACTCCTTACCGTCGCCATTTACAACTCAACAACATCCAGCAGACCTTGCTAGAACTGGAATGGCTGCTGTGTCATCTATGGTCACCGCTTCCCAACTTCACTGGGCTGGACACACTCGGAATGGGAGGAAAAAACACTCCCGAAACAATAGCTCTACACTAAATTGCAAAAGGACTCCCGAAGTAGAGGAGGTCAGTGCCTGCGCTTTAAGGATGTATTTCACTAAAATTTGAGATGAAGAATATCGGTAGATTCATGGGAAAATCTCGCCAAAAACAGACAGCAATGGCGCACAGCTACTCAACTGCTTGAGAGACATGTTAATGACACGGAGAAACACTAAGCCAGGAGACGCGGGTTAGAAGTGGTTACAGTATCGACCAGTGCATCTGAATATCAGGAGTTACCCTCAGTCCACTGTGCATGTGAGCCATGTGGAAAGGTGTTTCGTTCAATCACAGGTCTTGCTAGTCAAAAGCAAACTCACAGGAATCAAACAGTACAACCACGTAAAATGACTAAAGTATACCGACTCCCGATGCAAGAGGTCATCGTCCTTGGGGATGCACTGCATGATCATGAGGATGGCACACAAGGGGGTGAGTGGCTAGCGCTACGCTCGACTGCCTTGATCTACCCAGTGGTGTTTAGGCACCACCCCAGGTACTCATTTGAGGCTGAGTTGACCTAGGGGAGGCCCAGGACCGATTCAGATAATTGTCACTGATGTAAACCGTGAACGGCAATCAAACTCGAGTTGCCGGGCTCGTAGAGCAGCGTGCTGACCACTAAACGATCACTGCCCCAAAAACTCCACCCACACCTCCACATTCACAAATTCCTGAGGGTCGCCTCGCCGTCCCTCAGAGTTTGAATTTTCCTCCTGCTTTACGCTGCCTCCATCCACCTGGAGGTCCGGTCCTTGAGTCGAGTCATCTTCATTTTTCACCTTCACTTCTTCACATTCCACCTTCACTTCTTCACAGTCCACCATCACCTCCGCACAGTCCACCTTCACCTCTTCACATTCCATCTTCACTTCTTTACGTTCCACCTTTACTCTTTGACGTTCCACTTTCACTTTTTTACATTCCACCGTCACTGCTGGCCACGTTACTAAACTGGGGTCGTCTTCTGCTTCTTGTTGCATGCAAGATGCACTCAATGCAGCACTTTCACTTCTCGATTCCACCTCCGTCTCCACATGGATCTTCTCATGCCTATTTTGGTCGTCTGACGTTGCATGTGCCTTCCCACACACAGTCCACTTGAAGGGCTTCTCCCGTGTGTGTTTTTTCTGGTGAACGTTACGAGATCCTGACTGTGTAAATGCTTTACCACACACACTGCACTTGAAGGGCTTCTCGCCTGTGTGTTGTCTCTGGTGAATGTTAAGACATCTTGACTGTGTAAATGCTTTATCACACACAGTACACTTGAAGGGCTTCTCGCCTGTGTGTTTTCTCTGGTGAATGTTAAGAGATCTTGAGTGTAGAAATGCTTTACCACACATAGGGCACTTGAAGGGCTTCTCGCCCGTGTGTTGTATCTGGTGAACATTAAGAAATACTGACCGTGTAAACGCTTTACCACAAACAGTGCAACTGAAGGGCTTCTCGCCTGTGTGTTGTCTCTGATGAATGGTAAGACATCCTGACTGTATAAATGCTTTACCGCACACAGTGCACTTGAAGGGCTTCTCGCCTCTGTGTGTTCTCTGGTGAATGTTAAGAGATCCTGACCGTGTAAACGCTTTACCACAGACAGTGCACTTGAAGGGCTTCTCGCCTGTGTGTGTTCTCTGGTGATGTTTAAGAGATCCTGACCGTATAAACGCTTTACCACACACAGTGCACTTGAAGGGCTTCTCGCCTGTGTGTGTTTTCTGGTGAATTTGAAGTTGTGATGACCGTTTAAATGCCTTCTCACACAAAGTGCACTTGAAAGGTTTATCGCACGAGTGTGTTCTCTGATGTTGCAAAACATTTCTTGAATCTGCAAATCCCTTTCCACACACAGTGCACTTGAAAGGCTTCTCGCCTGTGTGTGTTCTCTGGTGAGTTTTAAGTTGTGATGACCGTTTAAATCCCTTCTCACAAGTAGTGCACTTGAAGGGCTTCTCGTCTGTGTGTATTCCCTGATGACTTTGAAGTTCTGATGACTGTCTAAATGCCTTCTCACATACAGTGCACTTGAATGGCTTCACATCTGTGTGTGTTCTCTGATGAATATTCAGGTGAGATGACCGCCTGAATTCCTTCTTCGCCATGTGTGACTTCTGGTGCAGATTCATGTGTCCAGGGTGGTCCGTGCCGTATGGACACTGCTCGCATTGGTGTCTTCTAGCACCGGGCTGTCTTGAGTCACTGCTCCTTGTCATTCAACCTACACATTACACACTACAAGCAATATACATGATACATATGCATTATACAACATTACACACAATATACACGATAAATAAATATTAGTCACACAACCTACACACTACATACAATATACATCATATACATAAGCATTGCACACTCACGTGCAGTACACCCAGCAGATATACATGCACATTACACACAATATACACAGATATTATACGCTTACACACAGTACATTAACTGTTAGCAGCCACTAATATGTACTCCACATTCTCTGCATACTCTTAGATTAACATAATGTTTAACTGTGATTAACCCAAACAATAGGCACGGGCATATGCTTAGATTAATATGTTCCATTATAACTTACACGACTACATTAACCCCTCTCTGGCTTTTGCACCGGATAGGCATCACAGTGATGACATCACCTTTACTCCCCTCTATTTCAGACCGGAAACAGAAGGAATTCTTCGCAATTCTGGCTATCGACCAATGGAGCTTGTTGCTGTTGTAATCAACACTAAAACGTCACAGCACTCGATTTGTAAATGTTGTAATGCGTTCACTCTCCAACACACAACTGGCGTGCTGAACTAGTAACTCATTGGCATGTTATGTTTATGTGACAAACCTTGGTAACTGGCTTTGTCAAGCGGTGGTGACAGGTTTCACGGCACATTTATATTCACCCGATCAAACCCAAAAAAAGCTTTATGGATGTTTATTTTATATAGATTTAAAACGCGAACTTGCAATTTGAACCGTGGAACTATTTGTTCAGCACGTAATTGCGTGTGTAAAAGTAGTGCAGCAGTTAGCATGCTACGCTACAAACCCAGCGTCCAGAGTTCGATTCCCGCTTATGGACAACACCAGTGACGATTATCTGAATGGGCCTCCCCGAGAGGGAATCGGCCTCAAATGACTACCTGGTGTGGTGTGCAAACATCGCCACTGGGTATACAAAGGTGGTCAGGCGTGGTGCTGCCACTAACCCCCTCGTGTACCGTGACGGCCTTCATAGGTGCGCGCTTACAGCACCTGCCCCGACAGTTTATTTAAGCTATACGGGGAATCTTTGATATTTGTCTTTGTTGTGAGTGGGTGAGAGTGAATATGCCAGTGAGTGAGTGTGGGTGGGTGAGTGGGTAGTTCGATGGGTGAGTGGGTGAGTGGTGGACGAGTCCGTGAGTGGGTGGATGGATGAATGGATGAGTGGGTGTGGGTAGTTGGGTGAGTAGCTGGGTAAGTGAATGGGTGAGTGGTTGAGTAGGTGAGTGGCTGGAATTGTGGAATGCTTTCATGTTGTCTGTCGGCCGAGTGGCCCTTGACAAATACCTTCTTAGCTCTGTGGGCTTTACTGGAAAATTATTCTTCTGACTGAAACTTTCTGCGTGGAGTTTGCATATTCTGCACCTGTTTTCCAAGGTTTTCCTCCAATAAAAAATATGCAACCCCCCCACATCCAAGTAATTGAACTAACATAGCAGTGCTGAAAATGCAGCTGCCTGCAAATGACTCAAGTTGCAGGACTCCTTGTAAAATATTCGCAGATTGGGCAAGGATTCCTGAAAGTGAGGATCTCACCGATGAGGTCCAGCAACGAGGGCAGGCAGCAGGCCTCAAAGTGAACGAGGAGCATTTAGCAAAAGTAAATGGAGCAGCAGGGCAGACATCAAACACCGACGTACAATACACTTAAGACACCGATCCATAGCTGTGCGCCCCTCAATCGATATCGTTACAAAGGGAGAGAAATAATGAAGCGAAAAAAAAGTAATCAAGGCAAAAGCAGCTGTATCACGTAAATCTAAGTTACATATTGAAGACTCGCCACAACATTGTGAAGCAGCCAGGAGAGATGATGTAGAGATGCACCAGAGTAGAATGACGACAGCGAAGGGACAGGAACGGAGCAAAGGACTCGGCCGAGTGTCGTCTCCTCAGTGAGGTGAAGCAATGAGCCAGGCTGAGGACAAACAACACAGAGCGAGAGAGAGAATCGCGATCAGTGAAGAGCGGTGGAGCAGCCCTGCACGGCCCCACGCTGTAGGGGGCCATCCATTTAGTACGTACGCATGGAGGGGGGAGGGGGTTAACCCAATTCCATATGCTTGCATATGGGGGGTCTACTGACAATGTACGCATAGGAAACGGGGGGGTGAAGCCTCGATAATAATGCAGCCGGCGGTGGACTATCTGTTTGCTTAAATACGTCAATATTATTCATCCTTGTTCGTTTCTGCATGGATTAAATACGAGGGGCGGGGGGACAGGGTGCGCAGGTGGGGGGGGGGGGGGGGGTGTAAAAGTACACATGCGTACAGGAAGGGGGGAAGGGGTCAAGTTTTGACAGATTTTTTTGCGTGCGTACTAAATGGATGGCCCCTAACGCGTCGCTGTTACAGCCTGAACGGAAATCCCCAGTTGATGCCACTAAATCGATATTCCTAGAACAGGAAGACAAAGCGAGGCTTCAGCTGGGTAAACAACCACCACCACACCCACGACAACAACCACAACACCCACTACAACAACAACCATCACACGCACTACAACAGACACCACCACACCCACTACAACAACAACCACGACAACAGCCACCACACCCACTACTACAACCACCACAACAACCACTACAACAGCCACAACAACCACTACAACAACCATTACAACAGCCACAACCACAACAACCACTACAACCACTACAACAGCCACAACAACAATCGCCATTCGCCACTAAGTGGTGGTGATGTCACCACGACGTTTGTGCCAGGCTATGTGCACATTGAGGCCGCGTGAAGTGTCGAACGCCCGCTGGCAGGTCGCGGGGCAGACCCAGGTGCCACGAGTCGACTGAGATGACTGAAATGACTGGCTGATGCACCACCTGTGCCCCCTACTGTGCCAACTTGCTGTGCTTTAGCCACCCGGCGCTCCACTCGTTGTGAGCGTCGCTCCTCCGCCCTCCGTTGTTGTTGGAGGGCGACTGCCTCCAACTGCCCAGTAGCAGCAGCGTCCTCCACAGAGGCCGATCTTGACACCGCTGGTACCTGTCATGGCAAGTCCACTCAGCTCCACGTCCTCCTGTACCACATCATTCCATCTCTTCTCTAGCCCGTGCAGCGCCGTTTAGCCCCCTCTATCCGGCCAAACAAAAGCTGTTTAGGCATGCGGTCACTCAACATGCGGGCTACATGACCCAGCCAGTAGTTTTACCCGGGCCCGCTCACCATCATGAAGGTCCTTAATGATCATGAGCAGAGGGTCAGGGACTCCGAAAGCACGAAGAACAACCCAGAGCCCAGGCCGACTGATGGTATCATAGGCCTTGACCAGGTCAATGAAGCAGAGATGTAGGTCTTGTTGGAATTCCCTACACCTCTGCTGTAGCAAACGGACAGAAAATATGGCATCTGTGCAGGGCCGCCCTTTCCTGAAACCGCATTGGGTCTCCGCAAGGCTCTCCTCAGCGTGCGATGTTGAATAATCATTGCCAGGACCTTTCCCGGCACACTGAGGAGTGAGATGCCCCTGTAGTTGTTACAGTCTGTGTGGTCCCTTCTTAAAGAGGGGGACCACCAAGGCATCCTTCCAATCCTGCTGAACCCTTCCAGTGGCCCAGACTATTGTTATGATGTCATGTAGGGCAGTCTGTGCACAAACGCCACCCCCTCCCTCAGAATTTCGCTTGGGAGATCATCTCTGCCCGGTGCCTTTCCTGGTCTCAGACTCTGGATCGCCTTCAGTACTTCCTCAACAGATGGCACCTGAGCCAGCCACTCACAGCCACAACAACAACCACTACAACAACCACTACAACAACCACTACAACCACTACAACAGCCACAACCACAACAACCACTACAACAACCACATCAACAACCACTATAACAACCACTACAATAGCCACAACAACCACTAAAACAACCACAACAACCACAACAACAACCACAACAACCACTACAACAACCACTACAACAGCCACAATAACCACTACAACAACCACTACAACAGCCACAAAAACTACAACCACCACTACCACAACCACCATAACAACCACGACACAACCACGACACAACCACGACCACCACAACTACAACCACCACAACTACAACCACCACAACTACAACCACCACCACAACTACCACCACAACTACAACCACCACCACAACACAACTACCACCACAACACAACTACCACCACAACACAACTACCACCACAACACAACTACCATAACTACAACCACCACAACACAACTACCACCACCACAACTACAACCACAACTACAACCACCACCACAACACAACTACCATAACTACAACCACCACCACAACACAACTATCACCACCACAACTACAACCACCACCACAACACCACCACCACAACTACGATGTCAGCACCTCCGCTCAGAGACCCACGGGGAGTCGACTCCCCGACTCCACTTCCTGGTTCAGGGGTCGTCTCGTGACGTCATCGAGCGCGAGACGCGCTCAGAGGGGTGGGGGGAGGGTGGAGAGGGATGAGGTGGGGGAGGGGTGGAGGGGGAGGGGTGGGGGCGGGGCTGTGGGGGAGGGGCTGTGGGGGCGGGGTGGGGGGAGGGGCTGTGGGGGCGGGGCTGTGGAGGATCATAAATGTGAAACCACTCTGGACGCTGAGGGTGAAGGCGGTGGCAGCAACGTGTGGATCAATCTTCCACTCCGTTTCAACTCCTTCCCGTGAGTGGCCACACGAGGGGAAGGCGAATCCTGGATCACCAGAAGGTGGTGGACAGCAAGGTTGCGAAAGAAGTTCCACATTCATGCGGTTGATCGATTGTAATTATCTGGCACTGCGCGATTATCCGGCTTCCAACATTATCCGGCTTCCAACGTGATCCGGCGGTCTCGGGCAAAACCGCTCCAAAGGCTGTACCCAGCTCCGGCGATCGGCACCACGTGCGTGACAAAACAAAATGTTGCTACGCTTAGTGCCAAATATAAATATTATACACTGCATACAACAACTTGAACGATGGAAATACCGCACGTATATACATTGTTCATGACTTATAACTACAGGAACACAAAACGAATCATTTACACAGTGCAATCCGGCGAAACGTGCGCTGTCTAATTCGGAGTTCGCCCGAGGACCCAGTCTCAAGGCTCCATCAGTTCGGCGATCATCAAACACAAGTTGTTGAAACAAGAGCTTAGGGGGCGTCCATAAATGACGTCACGCGATTTTGGACGATTTTTGACCCCCCCCCCTCGTCACAAGGCGTCACAAAAAGTCAGACCCCCCCCCCCTCAAATATGACGTCACAAAGCTCTGCCCCCCCCCCAAACCATATTTCCATTTTGAAAATAAAACATGTCTCAAATCGCTTCAAACTATTGTCATTGTCGTGCGTATTTAATGTGACGCTGCACTCTGATGTTGTAGGAGTGTTATAACAATTGGTGTTGTTATAACAATTCTATATTTATTTCAAGTTGCTCATTTTGTTGTGACGTCACATTTCTCAAACCCCCCCCCCCTCCTCTCGTCACACGTCACAAATGTCTGCCCCCCCCCCCAGGTGTGTGACGTCATTTATGGACGGCCCCTTAGAACATCACTCCATGCAGAGCCCTTGGGATTGCAGTGGGAACTTTGGTACATAACATACGGTAACTTATTACAAAAGGATATTTATTTTGTTTTTCATTAGTTTATATACGACAATTTGTAACAAAAAACATACACAACACCTAAAAACATGTCTAATAAGAAGGGGCAAAAATAAGCTATTTTAAATCATGATTATAGATTATCCGGCGTTTTTGAAAATTCGGCACCCCATAATCGTTTATAATCGATGATCTATTGTACATCATCCCCATCTGTTCAAACTCGACTCCCATACCCCGACTCTGCAAGAAGTGTGGACTACTCTCCATGCGTTCCTTCTGTGTTGTCCCCTCGCTTGTACGTGTAGGTTTTTATTTCCTTCCAGGTGCTTCCGCTTTCTTTCCACAAGTGTAACTAAATGCTCGTTAATTGGCAGAAAACATCTTGATGTGTAGAGAAGCACAGAGCTTGGGCAATTGATGGTAGCACGTGGCTCTCCCACCACTTGGCTGTTGCCTTCCCTGCTCGTGGTTTGATTCATCCTGCGAGAGTGCGCTAACGCAGTTCGGCATCGGCGACGGTGCAGTGCTATAAGTTGACATTGTTAGTGGCTACAGCTCTATGATAACCAGTGTAATTGCCCGTCACGTGACAGGCTCAAGATTGGGAACATGTGGAAAAAATGACTGCCTCTTCAGCTGCCGCTATGTCGACTAAATGTAAGGACAACTTGATTTCCAAATTCAACCGCCTCTCAAACAAGAAACCGGACCCACACATTGAAAAGCTAGATGTTAACAAAGTCGTAATTAATCGCAGTAACAGTCCTATTTCTGAAGGTTTGAAATCCGTTTTAGCTAAAGGACTAAACTTTGCAGTCACACCTAGACACATACCAGTTAATGATATAATTGCTCGAGTAGATGTAGCTCTCAAGGGCTTGAGTCACATCGCTGCAGACGTAGCAAGATCTGAAATCTCTGTAACCCTCAAAAACGCTAAGATGCCAGCTAGCAACATCAGCAAAGATGAGCGTTTTGAATTAGCTCAATTAAAAAAGAGGGATGACATTGTCATCCTCTCAGCCGACAAAGGCAATGCCACTGTCATCATGGACAAAATAGAATACAACAACAAAATTCAAGAACTACTCAACGATGGCAACTATACAAAAATAAAAAGAGACCCCACCAACAGCCTCGTCTCCAAAACCAACAACATCATTTCTGCTTCAACCGCATTAATTGATCAGACCAAACAGTTCTCGTTGAAACCTTCTGCAGCCAGGCCACCAAGATTGTACGGCTTGCCAAAGATACATAAAGAAGATACACCTCTTCGTCCCATTGTTTCTACTATCAACTCCCCCACTTACAAACTGGCTCGTTTTTTGTCCGAAATCCTACGGCCTTTCACTGGAAAAACCACCTCTGCAGTACTAAACTCTACTGACCTGGTATCGACAATCAAGGGGATTGCCCTGTCCCCAGACGACCTGCTTGTCAGTTCTGATGTGGTTTCCTTGTTCACCAAGGTGCCTGTGCCTGACACCATCGCAATCATTGAAGACTTGGTTCATCAAGGACTGAATGCTGGGGTACCCCCCCTGGTGAGACACTGCTTAACCAATACATACTTCACCTGGAATGGAACCTTCTACAAGCAAATTGAGGGCACCCCAATGGGCTCCCCCCTATCTCCGGTTGTAGCCAACATCTTCATGGAGAAATTTGAGACGGACGCCATCCAGACTGCCACTCTACGCCCGACCTTATGGAAGAGGTACGTAGACGACACTTTTGTCATCTGGCCACATGGCCGGCCTGCTCTAGACCAATTTCTCGACCACATCAATTCCATACACCCAGCCATCAGATTCACCATGGAAGTCGAAAATGATGGCAAGCTACCCTTTTTGGATGTCCTAATCAAAAGGAGACCTGATGGTTCAATGAGCCACTCTGTCTACAGGAAAGCCACCCACACGGATGCTTATCTAAAACCGGATTCCCACCACCATCCATCCCAGAAGAATTCCCTCATCAAGACTCTATATCATAGAGCCCAATGCATCTCCGACCATGAACACATTTCCAGTGAACTCAAACACGTACGCCAAGCTCTTAAGGCTAATGGTTACTCCGACTACACAATCCGCAAAGCCATCACTCCAACCATCAAGAAGGATCCTGTTGAGGAGCCTTTCAAGACCATCACCTTACCCTACATTGCTGGGGTCACAAAAAAGATCTCCAAAATCCTGATTAAACACAAGATCCAGGTCCGATTCAACACAGTACATAAAATCCGTGATCTGGTCCCGTCTGTAAAAGATGTGGTTCCAGACATACAGTACCCTGGCGTCTACAAACTAAGTTGCCTCTGTGGTAGCAGTTACATTGGAGAAACCAAACGACATGTCTCGGACCGCATCCGTGAACATATGGCAGACCTGAAACACGGTAGGACAAACACCTCAGCCGTGGCAGATCACTGTTACAACTCAGTGGGCTCACATTATATTGACTTCTCCAAGACAGAGGTTCTCTGCAAGCCATCTGGCTATCATGAGAGATTCGTTCATGAGGCGATCCACATATACAAACACAGAGACAATTTCAACCGAGAAGATGGATTCTGGCTTAGCAATCATTGGAAGGACGTAATAAACCATTTCGGATCTTAACTGATTGTGTTCACGTTTACGGTGACTTTCAGACCGCGTTCCACTCACTGGCATGGTGCAGTGTGCAGAGTAATGTATGGTGTCGTAATTGTATAGTAAACATATAGCAGTGTGATACACATTAGGGTGGGTAGAATAATACATAGTGTTATATTAAAATGGATAAGGCAGCAACTGCAGCAGCAGCAGCAAGTGCAGCAGCAGCAGTAACAGCAGCAGCAGCAACTGCAGCAGCAGCAGCAACTGCAGCAGCAGCAGAAACTGCAGCAGCAGCAACTGCAGCAGCAGCAGTAACTGCAGCTCCCTTTGATGCTGTTAATCCTGCATAATGCACATGCATATGCAGTACTAATCACATTCCTGCATTTCCCATAAATATGCTAAATTCCTTTTGATATGCAAATTCCTTTGTCAATGCGCCCAGCTTATATATATGCTCCAAGCTCGTGTGCTGTTTCATTCAGACTCTGTCGCCTCGACGGACCTGGTTTTCACCTGAGGACGGCTGCTTGCGTTGTGGCCGAAACGTCGTGAGAATTGTTTTATTATGTTTTATTTTTATTATTTTATTACTTCCCTTCTACGTGACTTTACCGAAAGAACCAAGAAGATCAATATTATATTGTATTTATTTCATCAGACATTTCCTTATACATCACATTTGGTGTTAATTGACTATCATCTCTCAAAAGTTTTCCTCGAGATTACTTTAGTTAAATCAGCACTTTGATACTCTTTGGTTCTTTTGGTAAAGTCCACGTAGGTATAAACTAAAATAAATCACCACGTTTAGATCGCAACACAAACGGTCGTCCTCAGGCGGAAAAAATATAATCCAGCAGTGGAACTGCTGAACTAACGTGTCGGATAATATTTTTTCCGCCTGAGGACGACCGCTTGTGTTGGTGCCCGAAACGTCGTGATTTTTTTTTCTACCTACGAGACTTTACCGAAAGAACCAAAGAGTATGGATTTCTGCAGTCACGAAAGCTTCAAATCAAGACAGCACTTTGATGTTGGTTGGATTTTTGCATTTTTATAAAGCAACGTAATGAAGTTGTCCATGGGAAAAACAGGTTCGTTGAGATAAACAAACTAAAAAGTGTGTTTATCTCAACGACAAACTAAAAAGTTTGTGCTTGTGACTTATTGACAGTGGTAGCAAATGCAGGAATGCGTGGAAATTGCCTTCGCTTCAAAATAAATGGT